CAAAAAACTGTCCGCATGAGTCATGATTTTGTAAACCTTGTATCTCCACCATATCTCCTCTGATTCTCACGATGTGGTGCTCAATTCAAAGCCCTGAAGCAGCACTACAATATGATATCAGCATGTCACCGAGGTCATTATGTATTCTCACACAATATTGTAAATAGTAAGAAATGCAAAAACATGCAGACAGTTTTTTGAGCCACTGTATATCATATGGCCTGCACTGGCATTAGCACCCTGAATAATTGAACAATATTTCAGGTCATACATCTGAACTAGTATCTCTTTAGATTGTCAGGGATCACATCTTATGTCTAATCATACTATAGGACTTTCTGTGGCATCCACAGTTGCATAACCCAGCATCCTTGAATGACTACTGATCTCAATCTACATAAGTTGTAGTATGAGTGTATGTATTATTGTTACCCAATATTCATGTAAACCAATGTTGCAACAGGGAATGGCCCATGAACCAGTCAACAATGCACAGCCTGGTTGTGCAGGGTGACAAAATTTTGGAAATGGATCTGGTTTCTGAAGAGTCAACAGATTCAAAAGCAATTCTCTTGTTTATGGAACAGACAGAGGCCACAAAACTTTTGTCATCCAGTGCACTCTGCACCATTGTACATTTGTGCTATTGTATGACAGACCACTGCAAGTACAAATGAAGCCTACTTCAAATAGGCCATCACTCAAAGATGACCTTCTCTCACTGTGTTTATGCTTTCAAATGAGCATTGAAATGGTTCAGGGCGACTTCAGCAGAGTCAGCCACATGTTCTTCAATACATAGTAGGTCACTTACATCACAATTCCAGTACTGAACTCCAGATTCATGTTAAGAACCATGCTCAAGGGAGAGAGAGACTGACTCAGAGGGGCTTGGCCTCAGCTTGTATGCTGTGCCCCTTACCCGAGTATGTGCCCTTCATTTCAGAGGAAATCCAATGATGGTCTGACAAAGTCCAGAGGACTTCCAGAGGAGTGCAGGAAACATCCGGAGGAGTGCAGGAGAGTTCTGGAGGAGTGCAGGAAGTGCTCAGGAGAGTTCCCACTGCAAGGTAATACTTCTACAGGAAACAGGATGGAAGGGTAGGAGGTCCAGAGGACAGGATGTCTGAGGGTTAGAAGGACAGGACATCCAAAGCTACAGAGGGCGGAACATCCAAAGGTATGGAGGGCAGAACATCCAAAGGACAGGATGCCTGGAGGTGTGAGGGACAGGAAGTCCAGAGGTACAGAAGACAGGAGGTCCGGAAGGAATAGGGGCTACATTGGACTTCATCCAATGTAGAAACAAACAGAGGTAGACTACCCTAAGGTAGAGTCAGAGAGACAGGAAGTGAACCAAAGTCCAAAAAGAAGGTAAATGCCAGAAAAACAAAACTCCAGCCTAAGGAAACAATCCCTAGACTTGGGACAGAGACATAGGGGACAAATCTGAAGGTCCAGAATTCCAGCCTGGGGAATCCTTCCCTAGGCCTTATGGAAGAGGACAAGACTCAGATGGACTGAAGTCCAGAAGATGATTGGGCAGATCTAAGGTGATAAGGACAGATCTAAGATGATATTCAGACTGAGGACTCTACAGGAGTTGTACAGGGGTTATATACTAGAGGATATCTGAGAGGATCAGTAAGCAATGGAGTAAGGCTATTTGTTAAGGTCGTGTGCTCAAGGAGGTTGGATCACAAGGGCTTGGCCTCAGCTCGTATGCTGTGCCCCTTTCCCAAGTATGTGCCCTTAATTTCTGGGGGCTAGAACAGTTGTCCAGAGTTTCTGGGATTTGACTAGGGCGGACAATGGACGTCCAGATGTTACTTGGGCAAGCGGATAAGACTAATCCGGATGAAGCCCAGACTAGAACTAACAGAGGATAGACTACCTTAAGGTAGAGTTGGAAATGTGGTCTAGGATGCAATCCTAAGACTCAGAATATGACAAGAGACTTGTCTTGAGTCTGGAGGACACAGGAATGAGCAGGAACTAAGATGATCTTTGAACTGGAGTATTTCCAAGAGTTACAAGAGGTTTATATACTGTAGGTATCATATAGGAATCAATCAGCAAACATAAAGGCTATGTACGAAGCATATGCAAAGTCTATTAGTAAGTAGGATGGATCACAAATAATGAACACTGGAAATGAAATGTATGTAACAGATCAATAATCAGAAGGGAAACATGGTTAACCAGAGTCCAGAGACAGGGGAAGTCTAAATGGGGTTGGGTGCTGATATAGGGTTTGGATTCTGGAAGGAAGATAAAGATAGATCAGATCATTTGAGATCCAGATCTTGGATCCAGATATCCGGAGAAGTGGATTTAGAGTTGAGAGTCCAGAATGGCATATGACACTATTGTACAAGCATGTGGAAACACATTAGTAAGTAAGACAGAACATAACTAAACAAACTCAGAGATGAAGACTCATACAAGGATCAATTAGCAAGATGGAAACAGAGATAACCAAGAACCAGAAAGGCAGAGATGCCTAAATGGGGATAGGCGCAGGATCTCAGATGGAGGGTGGGAATAGGTCTGGAGATCTGGGGATCTGGAAGGCAGGGCAGAAACAGGACTGAGATATGTGAGGTGGTGGATGTAGTCTGGAATCTGAGAGGAGGAAAAGTCTGGATGTCTTGCTGGATGGAATGTGCATAGGGTGGACAGGATAGGGGTGTACAGATCAGGCTAGTAGTAAAGATCTGGAAGTCTGGAGCTCAGGGGTAATTCCATAGCAGATCTAATCCTGCTTAAATATGGAGCACACAGCAGAAGGGGATCTGGGAATGAGTTGGAGGTGGGGTCCAGAAATAGGTCCGGAAAGCGTGGGAATATGATGGGATCTATATCTGGCATACGGGATATGACAATTCACCTCAATCCTGTCTCCATTCGAGTCTCTGGCATGATTGATGCACAAGATAGCAAGTATGGTAGCAGCTGCAGTCCACAGGCTGTTCTCAGCAAACCAACAACCTGTCAAGGATATTTGGTGTTCTCAACACTGCCAGATGAACTATGAATCAGCCTACCAGGACAAACATGCTTGCAAGGGTCAGTGAATAATTGAAAATGATAATAAGTGTGGAATATTCACCTGCCATGACCAAAGGCACAATGGTGGACAAAAGGATCCTTCAGCTTCCCATCAACTGTCATATGGTGACTAGGATTGAAACATGATGCATCAGGATACATGTCTTCATCCCAAGACAGTGCCCTGAGCTGTGCTCAGCTCAAGCTGCCATTACATGGACTCCACCACAACATACCACTGATTAACTATTACTCTCATACCTGATTGAACTATGGATGAGTCAATGGCAACCTCAAATTGTATGAATTTAAACCTTTGGGTATAAATTACCCACCATAAACATCATCATTTGATGTTGCATTGTTAAGGTCGTACTCAAGGGATAACTGAATCCGAAGGGCTTCAGCCTCAGCTCATGCGCTGTGCCCCTTACCCAAGTATTGCCCCTTATTTCAGGAAGGCATGACTAACGCATCCAGAAGGTCAGATGAGTAGCGTAGCGGATCTGGATGACTTCTGGATGAGGGATAAGTATTGTAGGGCTAATCCGGACGAGTCCAGACTAGAAACTAATGGTAATGGACTGTCAGAGACAGAGGCAAATACGGATAGACTATAGGAATCAATCCTAAGTCTCAGAGGGTGACAAGAGTAGAGATACTCAAGTCCAGAGGACAGGAATGAGTAGAACTAAGATGATATTCGAACTGAGGTACTACAGAGAGTTACAGGAGGTTATATACTATAGGTATCTAACAGAATGATCAATCAGCAGAGTCCAAGGCTATGTACAAAGCATATGGATGGTCTATTGGTAAGTAGAAATGGATCACAAATAATGAAATGGAAATGAAGCATAGGTAACAGATCAGGGAGCAGGACAGATATACAGATAACCGAAATACTGGAGTTAGGGGATTACCGAAAAGAGATGAGCACTGGTTGTGGATTCGGATGAATTGTGGACCAGTGTCATATCCACATATCCGGATCTCAGATCTGACCCTTATCTCATCTCAGATCCACATCTTATCCCCCTCCAACATCTCATCATTCAATCTATCCACTCATCCGGTCCGGTCCACAACTCATCCGAATCCACAACCAGCACTCGTCTCTTTTCAGTAACCCCCTAACTCTGGTATTTCAGTTATCTGTATATCCATCCTGCTCCCTTATCCACTACCTATGTTTCATTTCCGTTTCATGATTTGTGATCCATTTCTACTTACCAATAGACTATCCACATGCTTCATACATAGCCTCGGACTCTGCTGATTGATCATTCCATTAGATACCTATAGTATATAACCTCCTGTAACTTTCTGTAGTACCTCAGTTTGAATATCATCTTAGTTCTACTCATTCCTGTCCTCCAGACTTGAGTACCTCTACTCTCGTCACCCTCCAAGACTTAGGATTGATTCCTATAGTCTATCCGTATCTGCCTCTGTCTCTGACAGTCCATTACCGTTAGTTTCTAGTCTGGAATCGTCCAGATTAGCCCTACAATACTTATCCTGCATCTGGAAGTCATCTGGATCCATTACACTACTCATCTGACCTTCCGGACGCATTAGTCTTGCCTTCCTGAAATAAGGGGCAATACTCAGGTAAGGGGCACAGCGCACGAGCTGAGGCCGAAGCCCTTCAGATCCAGTTATCCCTTGAGTATGACCTTAACAACCAGACCGGATGAGTGGACAGATTGGATGACGAGATATTGGAGGGAGATAAGATGTGGATAGGATCTGAGATCCAGATATGTGGATATGACACGCATGTGGAATTCCTGTGCAAAGGGTCAATTATTCAGAGTTATATTTGTGCAAACTGACCTAGGGGGGCAAGAGGATACCATCTCAGGACCTTGCAGAGAATGGCATCATGGTAGGGCAGTGACACCCTATCATCAGGGCATGGCATTTTATTATGCCTCACAACTTGATCAATTTCCACATGAGCACAGGCTTGGATGCCAGGATAAAGCACCATAGCCAGCAGGAATGTCTACAATGCAGTTGTAGTCTGCAGGACATCAAAGTAGGAATCAGGACTGTTTAAGTAGTGACTCACAGTGTCCATGCCAGCTAATTAGGCACTATATTTGCATCAATAGATGAATTCTGTCTTAGTAGAAAAAAAAATCTTACTCATGTATCCTGTTAATGCAACAGCTTTCATTGTGTCTTCATCAGTGTTGTTGTGAGCTTGACTGAGAAAGTCAGCAACTAATGAATATGAAGCAGTACCATCTGCCTTCACCCAAACAGATCAGATGAAATTTCTGTCCACAACTCTGCGCAAATGTACTATCTGTGCCTTCACCTTGTCAAAGGCCTCATTCAAAAGCTGTTGAGCTAATTCTCTACTGTGTCTCATCAGGGAAAATGCTCCACTGAAGCACCAAAATGGTAATTTTTTGACTGCCACCTCATGTTGAATGTTCAAAATTATTTGTCAACAGAGGCACTCACAGAAAGGAAAGGCTGTGAATATTGCAGCCTTCTCTGGAGAAACAATTTGTTTGCCAATATGAAAGAGCTCGCATGCTTTGGTAAGCAATGGGTCTTCATGTCCATGAGTGACATATCCATATGTCACGGCCATGATCAGGGATGCTGTGTATCTGTTGCAAGGATTGACTGTTGACTGGACCATACATAACAACAACACCACCGAATTAGGTACAAACACTTGAATCTGTTACTGCAGGTCCCTTGTGGCATTCAAGAGATTGATGACTAGATTGTTTGTGTGGTGACAGTACATCTCATGGTATGAGTCCAAGATTTCAGCCCTGAGAACTTGATAGAAGATCTTGCGATGTCACTGTAAAGTCTTGCCATATGGAAGGAGTACAGTGTTGAAATCCAGTCCAGCTCTGCATCATCAGTGGATGAAGAACAAAATGAATGAAAACTGGCAATACATACAATTCATTGGTGCAAATAATGGGAGAGTAGAATAATTCACAGAACACTTGTCCAGCAACTCCTGCACAATGGTTTTGGAGTTTATGATGATCATGTCCATCCCAAGTATGCAGGAGTGAATGATTTTTCCTATGATCAGGTATGAAATTGAATCCAAGAGCTTTGAAAAGAGGCCATTGGTCTGCTACTAACCATATGTCTTCCCCCACGCAGTATATGTGAGCCAAGGTCATTTAGTATTCAATTGCAGCACATTACCCAAAATTGGTAACAGACGAGGACCAGGCAGCAGAGGTAAAAGGTAGGCATGTCTGCGAGTCAGACCCAAAGCAACAATCAAGGCAATGATACATGATATCCCTAAAGTGATAATGTAAGTGAAGAGCATAGGGAAGGATTATGGGGGCCAAGGCTCCTGTATTTATCTATTTATTTATAAAGTAAAGGGAGATCTATACCTTGACTACAAGGTCAATGAGTCCATACATTGATATTGTAGCTGTATGGTCCTACAGTGCCCCATTTTTTGACCTTGTGAGAATTAAACGTAACAGCGCCAGGCTGGCAGTGGCAGTACTAGTGTTGTGGGCAGAACTGGCAGAACCCTTGGCACCAAACCCACCGCGCGAAGTGACGAAGGAGTTCAGAGAGTGGACATGAGGACGGAGCGAAAGTTGTGCGAGATGCGGAGGGAACTCAATTCAAAGTAGCAGTACTAGGTACAGATTGGAGGGGGTGAGCAGTGGTGTGGAACTGAACAGAGACATGAGTGCATTAAAATTCAACATACTTGCAGGTATACTAAAGTCTTAGTTAGAGATAAGGTGCATCATAGCGAAAGAAAACAACAAAGAAAAGGGACGGATAAACAAGAGAGACTCTGTTCAAACGACGCAGATATGACATGCACGCAACGATCGCACTGGTGGCAACGAGGACTGCAGATCTGCCAGTAGTGAACCCTCCCAGCGCTGGGCGAGTGCGCAGTCAACGGTAAGCAACTCCCTCCACTTGCGGGCGACGTCGACGTCCTTGTTCATCAGTTTCAGCAAGCCAGACTTTGCATACTTGAACATGCCTTGTGCGTCCAGGTGGTCCAGGTTGCCACCAAAGAACGAGCGTGCGGCGGCGGCGTCTCGTGTGTCACGAGCCACCCGCTGACGCTGCAGAGCGTCGCAGAGCTTCGTGTATCCGACATGCTGACCGTTGACGTCAGTCCAGACCTTCCAGAATACATCATCCGATTCAAAACGCGAACGCTCATCCTCGAAGCGACAACCAGGGCAATGATGCACGATATCTAAGCGAGAATATCAGCGAAGAGGCGCCAAGACATGTGAGTTTACTTGACAAGTCTTTGACACATGGCATATAGGGAACAGCGTAAACCCCGGTGTATCACCCTCAGTTACCCCCACCTATACCCACCAGGGGTACCAGAGATAGACAACCCTTCGGATAAAGAGTTGCAAAAATAGCACCTTAAAGGCTGTATTGGACGTCAAGTGAAATTCTAGACATTGGTCAGCGCTGAACAATATCCCCTAACTGTCATCATACTATAGCGGCGTTAATGATTGCAAATCATAATGCGATAGCCTATCTGTCAGGACAAGTCCAACGTGGGTGCGCCTGTCAGCGACGCCGTACATTTAGGGCCATAGTCACGTGAGATAACACGCCACTAGAGCATGATGAACAAAGACGCATCTACTGGCCTTCCACACTGTGGACGGTGGTCAAAGTCGTCCACAGTATTCGGGATATAAAAATGCGTCTCACAGTGTCCGTTGAGGCCACCACAAATAGTTCGCTCTTCCTCGACTCCAGTCATACTCTGCATTAGAAAAGATGTCCACCACAACAGGTATGACGCACTGCGATAGCGCCACTTCGACGAGCATCACCGATGCTCTGGCACTCTCCTCTACCGACAGACTAACCCCCGCCGAACGAAAGGCCTTCGGTAAATCAGATCGCAAAGCTGGCAAGGTCCTCGGCGTCACACTCACGCGCAATGACATGGGACAGGTACACCACGATAGGAAACTTTCTCCATGCCTATCAGAAGATCAAGAGAATGTCCAAGGTGATAATATTCTCGGGGACATTAAGGTCACAGGTGCAAAGCGTTCATGTAGCCGCAATGCAAGCGCCGCCACCATCATTGGGCCACTTAAGGACCTTGGCCGCGTGCTCGCTTCGGGTATAGGGATGGTAGAGAAGCGGAACAAGGGGCGCATGGACGCTGGGAGATATAAGCAACGCGTTGTCTTGGGTCTCATGCGGTCCAATAAATCGCCTGGCAAGGAAGGTAAGGAAGAACTACCGACTGGCGTTAGCCACAACAGTGCATGCTCGCTCCCAGAGCTAGACGAGAGTGAAGATACCGAAGCGCCTCTGAGGCAGAACGATCAAGAGGGGGAAGACGATTTATCTATCGGTTTCCCAAGAGGCCTTGATGTCGAAAACTCGTTGGCTACACCTCCGAGTCCCGCCCTCGAGCGACGTATCGAGGAGATACGGCTTAGCGAAACGACTGGACCCTTGGATGTTTCGCCGTTTACATCTCTCTGCCATACAACTAATTTTGAGGTATCATCCGATGAAGAAAGTCCGGCACTCTCCTCTGACGACTCGTTCGACGACATGCTTCGTCCGGCGGAACGAGCTTACCTCGACTTTTTGATTGGACAGGATGAAGCCGAGAAGCAACCAATCATGGAGAGGAGAAGGGAAAGTAGGGCAGCGTTGCGATCCAGGAACAAGATACTGGATGTGTTGGGACCAGAGGCGCGACAAGCGGTTGATGAGCAATGCTAGACACTGCTAGCTGAAATCATGTAAATTTAGTGTACCTGTTTCCTCAGGTACTCATGTATCATGCAATCAGTGACCTCGGACGCCAACTTTTGAGAGTGATGTTCGACTTGAAGTAGCAATTTGAAAGACTAAACGGCTTATGGCGGAAAAAGCCGCTTCCGGCAGCGACTCGGCTCGGTTGGAGTGGGTGTGGGGTAACTTCAACAACAGTACCGGCGTAGGTATTCGAGCTCGCGCCTAGCAGCATGAATCTATGTAGTATTTGCTTACAAGCAACATACAATTATATAAGTGCGATGATAAATTAGGTTATGATCCCGACCCATGGTACAATCAAAGCCCTCCGAGTTTGAATGTAAGGAACGGCATCGACGACGATGCAACGTTTTATACTCTGAATCTCAGGTAAGCCATTAGAAGCGCAGAACAACCAGTCACTAGAAGCAAAACGTCAACACCCCAGCCTAAAGCCAAGCATTTAAATCTGCACATACCAAATCCAACAAGATACTGCAACGTCGTCGCCTAAACACCCAAGAGTTCAGTGAATCCAAGCTTCGCCGAAAGGAAGAATTCGAAACACACCTTCGATTGCTGGATCGTTGTCCTCAAGTTCGCAATCTCCTGTTCGATTCTCGTGTCCACCTCCTTGATCTTAAGCTCCTGCCCACTGCTCTCATCCCGCATCCGTCCCTTCTCCAAATTAAGATCCAGTCGAACGCCAGCCTGCGTACGCGTGATCTCCTCACGTAATCGCTGCTTCAGCTTCTGCATATCCGCAACCAAGCGGTCATTATCAGACTTCAAAGAAGCAAGGTCGTTCTTCTCGATAAGCTGCAGCTCAGATTTCAGCTGTGCGAAATCGACTTGTTGGGTGTATTGATGCTAGAATGCGAAGCGTATAACACGACAAATGAGAAATGGGCGGGCGAATTGCCTATTTGTTAAGTCTCGCAATACTGCGAGAGGGAGTGGTAGTGCCCACCTTCTCCTGCTCTGCTTTCGTGACCATATTGCTCGTCATGTTCCGTATACTCTCGTCGATGACCTCCGCCATGGCACCCATTATGCCTTCCGCTTGTGCACGGTTGAGCCCCTCGCGCTCGAGCCGCTGCACGAAGTGGTGAGTGTCAAAGTGAAACTCATGCGCCGTGTGTGATGCATGGAATGGTCGGGCAAAGGCGGGCAAATCGGCACGAGAGAACCTTAAGTTTGACGGACCGGATGCATTGGTACGATGAAAGAGCGTAGAGCTGTATGATGGAACTGAGCGATTGGCAGGTCTGAATGTTCCTGCACGAAGAGAGTGGATGAGGCGGGTGGTGGTAGTGCTCATAGATAATGTAAACCCGCGTGGGAAAATTAGCTACACAAGAACCGAATCCGAACTGTGCTTAAATTGTTGGACATTGCTCTCCTGCTAGCATCTAATTCGTGTTGAGAAACCTTGAAAAAGTGACCATGTCAACGAGCACAAACTCCCATGCTCATCCACATCCGCATGCTCAGAGCACGAGCCATAATCCCTGGGGAAGCACGAGTGGCACAGGCCCCCTCGGCACGTCTCTCACTGACACTTTCGGGCAGTCCAGGACACATTACCAGCCAGGCTATATGATGGTACGCTTGTCCTACTTCCCACCGCCTTAACTTCTCAACATGATTCACGCAGTCCGTAGCGCAACGTAATGTAAGTGACTGTTCACCGTGTTCAGAAACAGAACTGACACATCAGGCACATAGGTCATGTCCCCCAGCGCACAAAATACAGACGAAATCCCCGTTGTGCAGACGAAGGCAAAAATAAACAAGGGTTTGTCCCGTGGTGCCTCGCATTTTGGTGCCGAGTCGATGTTTGAGAGCTCGAGCACGTACGTTTACGTTTTAATTCTTATCTTGGTATGCTCAAGTCGGTTTGTTGCAAGGCAAAGGCAAGCGTTCACGGACATGGACGCGCCACCAACCAGTTCAGTCAATGATATATTCCGTGAGGGGTCTTCTTTTGGCGAGTCCCAACGGGCAGTTTTACCCCCTTCGCGCGTACGTCTCGTCCTCATTTTGATTACTTTTATTTAATGACTCTCCCGTTAACAGCCCTTCTCCCTCTCAAACTCTTCCACTACGATGAACACCTCCCAGTCTAAAACCCATACCCAGTCAAGCACCCCAAACCAACCGACCTACATAATTGTCTTCGGCTATCCACCAGATAAATATTCCCTCACCGTAGAATATTTCCGTTCGCTTGGCGCGAGTACCGAACCGGAGCCTAACACAGAGATTGTGAACGCGTTCAGAATCGGATTCCGTGACCCTGGAGAAGCCATGCGTGCGGTCAGGCGAAATGGGGAAGTCTTAGGGGGAACTTGGATGGTTGGCGTTAAATGGGCTGTAAGATACTTTTTTTTTCGATGTCGAGCGGTGTGCTGACTCGCACGATGCATGAAGGATTCTGTTCAGGACCCCCGCGGCCCTGATTTCACAACGTCTACTTCCCCGCCGCGGGTGCAAATCCAGACTTCGCAAGTACAAGCGCATACGGATGGAAATGCGATGGTGGTGGATGGTGCTGCTACTGTTGGGACGCCGATCAAGCTTGCGCCGTCTGTGGCTGCGTTTCGCAAAGCTCCTGCGCCAGCTCCCCAGAAATCTGCGTACGCTGTGCCCGTACCGGTCGTTAATGCGCAGCAGAGTCCTGCGAAGGGCGTGTTTGGGCAGGTTGGGGATCTGTTATTTGGGTGGTAGCGTTATGTGGTGATATTCGTACTCTGGTATGAGTGCGCTCTTGTCTTTGGTACGTCTGTAGATGCATGGATATGGATGCGTCTTTGGATGTGCGATGGACTTGCAGGGTGTTTTGCTAAGATAGACGCAGACTAACTTTGGTGCTACTAGTAAGTACGACCGCAGAAATTCGTAAGTGCCCTCTACTGTGCATGACCACGATGGATCACTTGGCAGCAGAAGACGTAATATTACATGCACTCATCCACAATTCCTTTAATTGTATACAAAACCTGCAAGCCTCTCCAACCCATTGTCCGACTGCGGATAGAAGTTCGGAACCATCCAACACATATGGGTCAAATCCGCATACTCCACAAGCTCAGCTCTCCCACCTGCCTTCTGGATACGACTGACGACTATCCGCGAGCTCTCAGCACAACTATCAGCTGTGCCGGTCATCACCAATGTCCTCGGCCAGGTTGCAGTGAATGGAATTAGGGTGCCTGATGCTAGAGGGTGGTTGGCAGGAAAATTGCCTAGATATTGGGAAGCAAAAGCTTGGTGGTTTGATAGGGATATGGTGTCGTGAGGTATGGAGGTGTAGGAGGCGTAAGTGAGGTCTGCGTTTGGGGAAAAGAGTGCGACGCGTCCTGGCATCGGGAGAGCGGATTGCGAAATGACATATGTGAGGACAAGAGCTAGCAGATAAAAGTGAGAAACGAATACGAGAATTACTTGGTAAATTATTGCGCACCCAGGTTTCCGCCTGCACTATCACCTGTGATAGTGATATTCTTGGCAGCAAAACCTTTCAAGATCAGGTGGTGGTATGCAGAGAATAGATCTTGTAATGCCGCAGGAAAGAGGTTCTTGGGGACCGTCGCGAGTCTGTGCGAAGGAGCTGCGATGATGGGTGTACTAGATCCTCGTGCGCCAGATTTCTTCTTAAGTGCGCGAAGTATACGAGAGAAGAATGCCATAAACCTCTGTTCCGTTGGATGTCCGAGGAGGCCGCCGCCTCCGTGCGCATGAAGGATGACTTTGACGTCATTCTTCGCACCAGCCAAGGACGCGGAATGCGCATCAGTGTAAAAGAAGACGGGAACCTGACCCGGTTGGATCGAGGTTGAGTGAATGGACGTGGGGATCTGAGAGGAAGGAGGGGCTAATTCACAAGAGATGCGAACGCCTTCCGGAATTCCTTCGGTGGGCACCCGTGCGCGCTCAGCAGGGGATTTGGCCTGACCGAACGGAGGCTTGGAAGCACTGATTGTAGTGCGGATGTCATGAACAGCTGCTGCTTGCGCAGGGGTCCAGCTAGTGGGTTGAGTGAGTGAAGGCATATTCAAGTGCTAGTGATCCATCATTCATGCGTAGGCATTTTATGTGGATCGGTCTCTGGTACCCTGTGACTCGCGGCGACATTCAAGTGTAGAATCCTAGATATCGTTTCAAATCCGGAGACAGTACATCAAGATTCAACATGAGGCTCATCTAGAAACACGATCCGGAACCAGACCCCTGACCATGCTTGAACAGGGCCCTGGCGGAGGACGAGATAGATAACAAAGATAAATTCTGGAGGCGCAGGGTAGTAGTTATACTTCGGTGTCAATTTTTCAGGAGCCGAAGACTCGGAATCGCGATGTGAACGCCTCGAGGCAGCAAGAAGAACATACCTACTACTTCTTTAAATACTTCTTGCAGGCAAGCTCTATACTTGGCTCGCAATATTAATGAACGAGCTTTCATCACAACCATTGGGGTCGCATTCAATCACTTCCTCTCAGCGTGTGGGACACCACGCCCATTTTCTCGTGATCATTAAGGCACTTGGTTTCTTTACGCTCCGCCTATCTCAATAGAATGACCCGGCGTCCGTCTAGGTGCGGGAGCAGTATCCTATATGTCGTCGGATACAGCTTATCTTGACTTTCACTTAATTAGAGTTCGACGCTCAATCTTCTTCCCTTCATCGATTCGCACTTTCGCACTCCACATAGTCACCTCGTACCCACAGGGCACGAACTTCTCATCGAACTGTATCGTCATCGAATTTCCTTTGCTCTCAAATTTCCCTTTCACCTTCGTGTATATTCCTTTGTGTCTTGCCAGCGAGTCACTCTAAAAACGTATATGTACTGCCCATGCATGGTATATACATTCATATTCTATAGCAGAATTACATGCAGTAGTGACTTTCAAGTTCCCCGCTACAGGTACGTTCGAAAAAGCTTCAAAAAGAGTCTCCGCCTTATCTCTCGGTTTCGTCGTCGATACGCACATCCTCTATCTACATTGTCTCACGATTCCCCTTCGAGCTCACTCCTAGCCTTTACGCGTGAACAACAATTCGTCGATCATAAATACCAGAGATTTGCAACATCGTCGCGGAGTTTGAAAGCGATTTACGTGATTTGAAAGGGGCCTTCTTGATATCACAATCTAGAGCTGGGTCAGTTGACGTACGGACTTGAAGTTGTAACATATGACAGCATCTTGGAACTAGAACAATGCTGCAGGAAGTCATCCAGTTGGATCTTACTCGGTTCCTTCGAGCAACTCCAAATCCTGAGCCCAGACTCTGAACACCCTTGTGGCATTCACAATGAAAAGACCCCAAATGAGTTTGCTTCAGTTTAATATTTTGCAGCCACCATCGAGCAGTGTACAACAACCTCAACATACCTATCCTCACTTCCTGCATACTTGCTTCTTTGTGACTTTGTTGTCATTTTCCTTCATTAATGCCTCTCCTTCAACTTCGTACTGTTTCCATCACCTCTCGTTAATGTGGTAGTTAATCTTCTGACATCGTGTCATTTATATCCTATGTAGCATGTAGTAGTGACGTTAATGAATACATTTTTAGGTTGACTCTCAAGAAACACACAGCCTGTAAAATGGATCAGAGTGTGTCTTGTTGTAGGCTTGATTGATTGAGGTTTGGAGTAAGATGAAGGGATTGGTATAAATTGAACACAACTGCGAGGCCTGTTCATGGCCATAAAATGGGCCAGTGTCTTGTTGTAGGTCAGGTATGTTGATCCAGGTTTGGGTGGTGCCTAAGTATGGTCAACATAGTGAGGCCACCATGACAGTGTATTATATTCTCTTTATATACTCGTCAAAGCTCCACACAGTGCACCATTGAGAGTACTGAACCATGAGATGGGAACATGGGTGAGGTGGAGTGGAACTACTGAGTTGTTGAACTCAGAGAGCAGTGATAGAATTGTGTACAATATTAATGAAGTCAAGAAAATGAGAAGTCGCGTTTTTGTGGATTACATAATCTGGGGGTTTTCTAACTCTACACTGCCAGAAATTTGACCGTGGTCTGACTAATGGTGATGCTATTGGGTGGCAAATGAGTTGACCCATGGAAATCCTATGGTGAGACATGGATGGACTACAAAAAGGAAACATGTGATCAACCATTAGCATCAAGCATAGCTAAACTGCGGAGGGATATAATAGATTTTTCATGGGCAGGTACAAAGTTTTGCAGCGTTCTGACAGGCAACAAATTTCACAAAACAAAACATTAGCTGTCATTCTCTGGTAAGATACGAGCTACTAGGGAAATGTAGACAGAAAACCATTAAATAAAAGGAGTAGTACTAGAGTGAGAATGATGAGTGAGAATGACAAGTGAGAATGATGCTGATCAGTCCAAGTCCAATGCATTGTGAAATGATGGGAGTCCAATGATTGTATGTGAAATGATGATTATGAATGAGGAAGAGAGGGAAATAGTATCAGTGGCGCCCTGAAAAATCAAACATTGTTGCCAGCATGCTGTTAAGGTCATGGTCAGCAGTCATTGGTGCATGGGGGTTGGTTGAAGATCCCAGGGCATTGTTGCCTTGCGAAACAGTGGTGTTAGGCTTGCTAAATTGTGCATGATCCTTGGCGATTAATCCTGCAATATAACTAAGAAAGAAGCTAGTAAGACAATTGACTTGGAAGGCTATGAAGAAAGCTTACTGCTGATAGCCATCCTTGTCTTGCACATAATGATCTCTTTGAGTATGAAGGTGGGTCTCAAACTGCTTCCAAAATTTCGGTTTGGCTGTGTCAGCCTTGACCTTCTTTTTGCTGTGGTGTGATGCAGGAGCTGGTGTCCCACTTTCATCATTCTCATCATTGTTGTTCCTGTCCAAGTCAAGCAGCTTGAGATTGTGCATGGCAAAGTCACACTGTAAATGAAAAAAAAGAACCACAGTTGAAAACTTAGCCACTGGGAAACTTACTATTTGTACTACTTGTGCCAGCAGTGTGACTGACAGCAGTATTGTGGCCACAGCAGGGTTGAAGCAATTGAGCCATGAGACTGTGAAATCTTCAAGAGTCAGGCATAAGGGGCCATCCTGCACTGATACGAGGATCTGGCAAGCTGTGCATGACTAAATAGCAAATGAATACAGCAGGAATAGCCTTACAAATCTCCATGCATTGTTGTGGGCATTGTTGCATGCATTGCAAATTGCACGAATAATAGTTGCTCTATGGATCTTGGCCTTGAGTTGTTCAGTAATCTTCAGGTCATCTGGATGTTGCTCAACATCATGCTGAAGATGTACATCAATACACGTGATAGAAAACTCAATGAAATTTTTACCAGAACATCTTGGTACATGTTGACAAAGTTTGTTTGGTCTTCTTTGACAAGTGCCCGCTTTGCCATATCCATAAATTGAGCCTTCAGCAAGATACTACCCATTAGTCATGGTTCAGAACATCGCAGTAGACTGACCTTCAAGGCATCATCAACCACCCACAATGTTTTGATAAGACCCTTGACAACTGCCAACTTGGAGGAGAATGTAGCAACTTTTGCAGTGGTTTCTTCTACAAGTTGTAAGCACATGTTCAGAGCAGCAAAGGACATAAGAGATGTCATCTTTGTGGGCAGTGGCATATCCGCAGCAGCCTGACATCACATACAATATCAGTATCATGATGGGTGCATTGAATTGCACAAGGTTAGTACACACTAAAGCATAAGACTATAAACTGCGTGACCTCTCATTGCTGAGGCTGTATGCCTGTGTGATGGAAGTGATAAGTTCTGGACCAACTTGAATAGATCCAGATGGTGGCACCACAGCAGCAGGCAACTGAGTTGCACTTGACTGAGGCACTTGGGAGGTCAAAGATTGATCAAATTTTTCATCACTGTTTTCATCATACAATGATGAACATGTGCATTTCTGGCCTGCAGAGGGTTGGACTGGTGCAGCTGAATAAGGGGAATTAGCACTGTGATTGTGGTATGCGGGAGCCTGAGATTGAGAGTTGGGTACTGTGGTCAATGGACAATTGGAGTTGAAATTAATGTTGATATTGCCATGATTTTGGGCAATGGCAGGACCTGAATGAATAGAAGCTCCATTAAAATGCCTGTTCTGCTGAAAGGTGGGAGTATGCAAAGAATTGGATGTATTACTTGAAGAATGGTAATTATCACCAGATGGGTGTTGTCCTTCGCAGTTGGGCAAATATTGCTGTGGTGGGTATGGATTGCGACTTGGAACTTGTGAAGGTGGTTCAGAATGAGTGCTTGCAGGCATCATCAGTCTGCTGATGTTCATTGGATGGATGGAAGTGTTGTGCGTGTGGTGGAAGCATGGAAATTGCAAATGGCAAGTGATCATTATTTTGCTAAGTTCAAACTGTGGCACATTCAAAATCGAAAATTGTCCTTAATGTACACCTGCTGCTAGTTCAGATTCACAAACAATGGTGACAAGTGAGTCAGTATCAAGTGGTGGGGCAGCTTCTCTAAATTTCAAAATAAATTTTGCATCTTGCATCTTTGCCACATTGAGGATTAAATCCTCTGTGTGATCATCATGATGTCTCACTGCCTGTGTGTCCTCCACCTGATGCTCCCATTCAAGAAACACTGGTCGTGTTGAAGTGAGCTTGCATTGATTAGCTGCACAATTGTGTTGTGCATTGACACTGCAGTCAATTTGCTAAGTTGCCATGGTGAAGGTCAATAGATTGCATATGAAAGTAAAACATCATTTACCTCTGGAGTGACCAAGTGATACCTCTCAGTTTTTGAGAGTGAAGGCATCCAGTACAGCTGGACAAGGGGACCAATCTTATAACATTGAAGTAAAACCCAGTCTGCTTTCCCCTCAAAATCCTGTCCCCTCATCAAAATTTTGGCCACCTTGCCAACTAAGAAGTGGTCTTGGACATGGAATACCATGAATGAATCAAGTGCAACAGGATCACCATTGCAAATGACGACTTCCCAACACTGCATTAACATTGTGTGATCTGTGATACCTGGGGAAACACAGTATGTTGATGACAAAGTTTGGTTCCAAATGAGAGGGCGCGTTTTTGCTCTTTTTGCAAATCCTGTATAACGGATAAGGCAAATGGTCTTGAATAATCCTACTTACATACCTATATGAGAAAATGATTCAGAATGAGGAAAACCAAGTTTATGAGTGATTATTGACAGCTGTTCACTGTAGGCTCGAGGATTCACTCCTGCTTGAACCCATTCTGTTTGTGTTGTGCCATCTGATTTGTCTGACTCAACCTTGAAGTATCCACCACTGAGTAGTTGCCGCAAGCGGAGTAAGCCAGCAGCATGTTGTGCAATATCTCATGAAGGTGCCATCTGATTTGAATTAATGGACCAGCCACAAATGATGTTGTTGTATGACTTATGGACTTCTGTGGCAAATGTGATTGTGGGGCCAAATCTCCATATGTGGTCAACAATGTGCAAAATGAGGTGAAATTTCAGCTTGTTGAACCATTGTGGTGTCCAGTGAGCAGTACAGTCCATGAATCTTTTGATTGCTGCATTGAGTTCAACCTGAGATCATGTTAAAACAAGCATTGTGAGATTGAGCACTTGGCACACCATATAATCATCAAAATTGTCAATTTTTGGCATCCAAAGAAGTGGGACAAGGACACATAGCACAGCCCATGCATCAAGGATCTTGGTTTCAAGCATGTCATACAGTACAAAAACAACAACTTGACTGATCAAATGAAAATCACAGCTGACAAGTGAACCAGCATAATGAACAAGTGTATGACCACGAGGTTTTGCTACATTGGACCTGAGGCCAGAAACATTGAGAGTTGACAAATGAGCCTCAATGGTAGCTTTGTTGATGGCAGAGAGATGTTCAACTGCATCTTGCCAGAAGTACTTGAGGAAACCCAGGAGAACCACATGTAAAATTTCAATTGGTGTATCAGAATGCAGACTCAGACCTTTCAAGAACAAAGTGAGTGCAAGTCCAATATCACGAACATATGAACAATGATATACCTCTAATTCACCACACTGGGCTAAAGGTATTGGCTGGTAACCTTGAATAAGCCTGTCAAGTCACCTGTCATGCCACATCCCCGCTGAGTGACTTCCTCACCTTCTCTAATTTGTCAAGGAAAAAGCAGAGTACTGTGTCCTTCACACCAGTAGATGTCTGGAGATCTACATTTTCCTTCTGACGTGCAAGAGTCAATGCATTTTCAAGCATCTGATGTGAGATGCTCTGGGTTTCTGCTGCAGTTCATGTGGCACCAACCTGCATCATTTGAGACCATGCCATGAAGCTGCAGTATCTCAAGTACCAACCTTCATGAATCTCTTAATACAACTGACCATTCCATGCACAGTCTCCTTCTTAACACCACCAACCTCAAGCATGTCAGTAACATCTTTCCCCTTTACCCAGCAACAACAGCAAAAAAACTTCGACATTAGACCTGCATGGCAAGTAAATTCACTTTGCATTGGATTGTCACCGAGCAATGCAAGGACCGAGATGATCACAAGTATAATGTTGTGGCAGCTGCAGTCATAGGCCCAGATACCTGTTTCTTGACATGATCTGCCACCACTACATCAGTTTTGATTTTCATGATGGGGCAGGTTCTGCTCACTCAATTTGCTCAACAACGCCTTTGAGCATTTCTAGTGGAGGTGCTATATTTGATGTACATATAAAGTTAAGATTGTACTCCCACTGCATGTGCTCTTGTGGAAGTCCAGCAGCATTCATAAGGAATGTGTTGTGTTCATTCCATTTTTTGGATCAGTTACCCGAAGTGTTGTCACAGTAGAGTAGTACAGGATATGCAACAACACGATGGCCATTGGCCTTCAGTCGCCATGGGTTTGTCAGTGGTTCCACCCATGGTTTAATACAACCAGTGGGATCACAACAATCTGACCTTGTTGAGTAGCATAATTACAAAAACATGAACCATACTGACAAAATGTTGACTGAAGTGTGGGTCAACCATGTCCAAGTGGTACATACTGAAGTTCCAGAAACACCATCGATAAATTGTCAGTTGGGAGAGATAGTTTGTTGTGTTGATCGATGGGCCAACTAAGTCCTGCATCAGGAGAATGCCATGGAACAAGTGGTCATGTATGAAACCAAACTTGACCATTGTTTTTGAAGAACCTGAACAGCATGCATAGCATACCATTCTTAAGGAGTGTTGGTTTGAATATGTAGAAATCTCATGTTATATGGCCATCAACATGGTACATTGGTGTAAGCAGTTGAGTGTCATGCTCCTTTAACCAGCAGCGTGCCTGACGAATTTCCTCAAGTCTTGGGCTGCTATCTTCAGGGTAAACCTCGAGGACTGACCACACAAGCGGGTTTGCAAAGGCCTACATGTCATTAGTTACTAGCACATTCAAGGATGTAGAAATGACTACCATCTTCATGATGAACTGTAGTGAAATCATATATGTGTGACCCAAACAGCTGATGTAGTGATTGATCTCAACTCCACACAGACTGTCTATGGCATGCCCAACACTCTTTATTTGATGAATAGATGGCACTGCATGAACACCATGTTGTTTTAATTGCCATAAAATGACCTCAAGCTTGTCTTTGGAGAAGACACCTTGAGGCAAATTTGACATGATATTGAGCATACATGACTGATCTGACATTAGAGGGGAAATACAAAACTAAAAGAAATGCGAACAAGGTGATTTTTCCATGGATACCATGCATTCAGCCCATGCTGCTATATAGATATATCCTAAGTGGACTATAGTCCTAAAAGTCTAATACATCTTTAAGTCTAGTTATCCACCCAGCTGGGATATATCTGTTCTCACCAGATATCACAGCTGCATTTTTCAAATGTCAGGATACATTCCAGATTTGGTAGGGGATATATTCCTATGTTATGACCGCAATTTTGACTTCCAAAAGCGGAAATTCACAAAACACATCCTATGTTGGTCACTTCCTCATATCAGGGCTTCCCCACATTATTCCCACACTCCGCACTTTCGCATTTTTCAGCCACACAGTGTGGGAATTACACCACAACACCCAAAACATCACCCAATATGGTATACCCCACAATTTCAATTATTCCCACACCCTCCCCACCTCACTGCAGCTTCACCACCACACCACAATAGCTCCCCCTTCATATATAAGTAGTAATTTTGTATATACATGTATAATATGGGATAATAAATCGCTTTTTTTTGTTCATTTGTGTGCCTATTCCTCCTCCAGGGCCCTTTCAACATAGCCAAGGGTACAGAACATTTTCGCACTTTTACCCCTTTGATGAGGAGATGTTCTATGGTATTCAAGACATGTTTAGTAGTGCATATGAATAGATTCCCTCACTTGCTTGACCCCCTGAAGCACCCTACATCAATAGATATAGCCTATATATAAGAAAACACAAAATATGTTCCCATTTATTTATTTCTGAGTGGATATACTTGTAAAATGTATTCACAACATCTATTCATCAGTAGGAACAATGTATCAGGAGTCCAGGACCATAGGATAAGACCCTGTGATGCAGTATACCTGCCCTCTCCTGGTGGTTTACCCCCTGTGAAAAATTTTCCTGTAGGACTGGACCTCAAGGATGGTAGGGGGTCTATTTCTATGCATATTTAGAGTATATATGTCACCTAGCTACCACAGGAAACCTATAGGGTCCTTCAACAGGAACAAAAATATAGAAAATCGCATTTTTGACTTTTTGGATGTTTTTTAGTACTTTACCATTGCACATATGATCCAACCTGCTTATATATCATCAGTTGTGCATACTTGCTATTTCTACTGATAAGGGGCTCATACCTTCAAAACATCGAAATTCATTAATCAGACACCTGGAATACACTTTGAATGTATCAAGTATCATAGATATAAAGTTTAAGAAAGATCCATTCAGTATTGAGTGAAAGGGGAGCAAAGGAACATAGGTGTGAAAAGTGACAATTGACACATTTCACACAAAGTCACATTTACATATGTTGTAGGTCAAAGATTTCATCAAATTTTAATAGGATATGTGTTAGACTACACAAGGAACCTATACTACACTTTGCCCTGAGGGTGGCAGATATGTGGAAGGGATGTGGTGGTAAAGTAAGTTGATGCAGCATTAAAGTCCTATAACTAACTGAACTGACCATTTTCGATGTTTGGGGTCTTTGAGTTTCCCACACTCAATTTCTTATCTATTTCACTTCCTCAGCACTCAGTTCTTGTTTGATTGTTTAGAAAATTGAGATTTATGACTCTTAATACATTTAAAGTGTATTACAGGTGTCTGATTAATAAATTTCGATGTTTTGAAGGTATGGGCCCCTTATCAGTAGAAATAGCAAGTATACACACTAGCTCAAATCTCTGGCCTATTTTGAACTGATCTTTGGTATACAAAGCATATATATATGTATAACTGATGATATATGAGCAGGCTGGATCATATGTGCAATGGTAAAGTACTAAAAAACATCAAGAATGTCAAAAATGTGTTTTTCCATATTTTTGTGCCTGTTGAAGGATCCTATAGGTTTCCTGTGGTAGCTAGGTGACAGATATACTTTAAATATGCATAGGAATAGACTCCATACCATCCTTGAGGTCCGGTCCTACAGGAAAATTTTTCACAGGGGGTAAACCATCAGAAGAGGGTGGGTATACTGCATCGCAGGGTCTTGTCCTATAGTCCTGGACTACTGATTAATTGTTACCACTGTTTAATAGATGCTGGGGGAAAAGCTTTCAAGTATATCCACCAAGAAATAAACATATGGGAACATATTTTGTATTTACATGTATATATGCTACATCTGTTGTTGTAGAGCACTTCAGGGGACAAAGTAAAGATTGGAATCTCTTTATATATACTACTAAACATGTTCTGAATGCCATGGAACACTTCCCTATCAAAGGAGCAAAAATGCGAAAATGTTCTGTACCCTTGGCTATGTTGAAAGGGCCCTGGAGGAGGAATAGGCACACAAATGAACAAAAAAAAAGCGATTTATTATCCCATATTATACATGTATATACAAAATTACTACTTATATATGAAGGGGGAGCTATTGTGGTGTGGTGGTGAAGCTGCAGTGAGGTGGGGAGGGTGTGGGAATAATTGAAATTGTGGGGTATACCATATTGGGTGATGTTTTGGGTGTTGTGGTGTAATTCCCACACTGTGTGGCTGAAAAATGCGAAAGTGCGGAGTGTGGGAATAATGTGGGGAAGCCCTGATATGAGGAAGTGACCAACATAGGATGTGTTTTGTGAATTTCCGCTTTTGGAAGTCAAAATTGCGGTCATAACATAGGAATATATCCCCTACCAAATCTGGAATGTATCCTGACATTTGAAAAATGCAGCTGTGATATCTGGTGAGAACAGATACAGTGGCTCAAAAAACTGTCCACATGTTTTGACATTTTTCACTATCTATGATATTGTGTGAGAATGAATAAATGGCTCAAGGACATGGTTATACCACATTGTAGTATGGCTTCAGGGCTTTCATTTGAGCCCTACACCATGGGAATCGGTGGAGATATGGTGGAGATACAAGGCTCACAAAATGGTGACTCATGCAGACAGTTTTTTGACTCAAGTATTTTACAATAATAACCAGGTATTCTAGTATTTTGTATGACCTCCCTTGGCTTTAATTACTGCCTCTATCCTTCTAGGCATACTCTCAATTAATTTCTGGCAATCCTCAGCTGTGATCTTCCCCCATTCCACTGCTACTCTCTTCCAAAGCTCCCATACTCCTTTAGGGGGGTTTTCATAGGCTTGAAGCTTTTTCTTGAGTGTTCCCCAGAGATGTTCAATGATATTGACATCAGGAGACTGTGCTGGCCAGTCAAGAACATTGATTTTATGTTCTTCAAACCATTCCTTAGCTCTTCTGGATGTGTGCTTGGGATCATTATCCTGTTGGAAAATGATATCTTCTTCATCAATCCCTGATTCTGCCAAGCTAGGCAGCAAGTGGTCATTTAAAATGTCCACATACTGCTCAGCATTCATCTTCCCCTCAACCTCAGCAAGCATTCCCACACCATTCCATCCCATACAGCCCCATACGATTAAAGAACCTCCTCCAAACTTGACAGTCCCATTAACCTCTCTGTCTGTTAGGCCATCTCCCTTCTTTTTCCATACATATACCTTCCCATCTGACCCAATCCTATTGATTTTGGTCTCATCTGACCATATAACATGCTTCCAGTCCTCTACAGTCCAGTGTTGATGAGCTAAGGCAAAGGCTAGTCTTCTCTGCCTATGTTTGATGGAGAGGAGAGGCTTTTTCTTCTTTGTTACTGCCTTGAGATGAGCTGCATTGAGAACATTCCTCACAGTTTGTGAAGAGACAGGGAATGTGATGGTGGAATTGATGTAATAGGTGACCTGGACAGCATTATCAGCCTTTCCTGTAGTGATATGTTGAATAATAGCCCTCCTATCAGTAGAGGTGAGCTTGGATGGATGCCCTTCACAGAAGTTTTCCTTGTCTGTGTGACTTTCTTTGATGAACTTGGCCACAGTGGACTTGGATACTCCAGTTCTAGAGGAAATTTGACAAGCAAAGAGGCCAGAATAGGAAAGAGAGAGGATATTATTCCTTTGAGCAGGGGGGGTGGCTTTCATGGTGAATATAACCATGACATATGGAAATTTTTGGTTTGTATAGTTAGATATGGTTTTAAAATGACATAATGACACCACTTTATAATTTATTTAATGGTGGCATGATTGTTATGGCATCATAAATGATGATTTATATAGTTTTAATATGTGCTCAAAAAACTGTCCACATGAGTCATGATTTTGTAAGCCTTGTATCTCCACCATATCTCCTCTGATTCTCACGATGTGGTGCTCAATCCAAAGCCCTGAAGCAGCACTACAATATGGTATCAGCATGTCACTGAGGTCTTTATGTATTCTCACACAATATTGTAAATAGTAAAAAATGCAAAAACATGTGGACAGTTTTTTGAGCCACTGTATGTGCCCTTCATTTCAGATGAGGTCCAATGATGGTCCAACGAAGTCCAGAGGACTTCTGGAGGCTGGCTACTCTGGTGGAGTGCTAGAGGACTTCCAGAGGAGCATGGGAAATGTTTGGAGGAGCATGGGAGAGTTCTGGAGGAATGCAGGAAGTGCTCAGGAGAGTTCCCACTGCAAGGTAATACTTCTACAGGAAACAGGATGGAAGGATAGGAGGTCCGAGGGTCCGAAGGTCCAGAGGACAGGAGGATGGAGGATGGAGGATAGAAGGACAGGATGTCCAGATGTCTGAAGGTATGGAGGGCAGGAGAATAGGACGTCTGAAGGTATGGAAGGAATAGGGGCTACATCAGACGAAGTCCAATGTAGAAACAAACAGAGGTAGACTACCCTAAGGTAGAGTTGGAGGGACAGGGATTGGACCTAAGTCCAGAAAGAGGAGAAGTGCTGGAAAGGCGGAGCTCCAGCCTAGGGAATCAATCCCTAGGCCTGATGGATAGGACAGACTTAGGTGGACCAAAGTCTGAGAGAGGATTGGGCAAGTAGAGCAAAGTCTAAGATGATATTCAAACTAAGGAAACTACAGGAGTATCTATGGGGGTTATATACTGGAGAATATCTGGGGGGATCAGTAAGCAAAGGAGCAAGGCTATGTACGAGCATGTGGAAACACATTAGTAAGATGGAACATAACTAAATGAACTCGGAGATGAAGACTCATACAAGGATCAATAAGCAAGACAGAACAGGAGGTAACCAAAAGCTGGAAAGGCAGAGATGCCTAAATGGGGATAGGCGCAGGATATCGGACAGAGGGTGAGAATAGGTCTGGAGATCTGGGAATCCAGAAGACAAGGTGGATACAGGACCGGGATATGAGAAGGTGGATAGAGTCTGGAATCCGAGATGAGGTGAAGTCCAGATGTCTTGCTGGATGGAGTGTGCATAGGGTGGATGGGACAGGGGGTTATGGATCAGGCTAGCAGTGGAGATCTGATGGTCCAGAGCTCAGGGGTAAATCTGGAGCATAGTTGATGCTGCTGAGGTGTGAAGCACACAGCAGAAGGGGATCTGGGAATGAGTTGGATGTGAAGTGGGGTCCAGACATAGGCTTGGAAGGTGTGGGAGTATGATGGAACATGGGTCCGGATTGTGGGATATGACAGAAACCATGGTTGACCATATGACAGAGCAACATGCTCACACTGGCAACAAGGCATGCATGCATGTCTTCAGATTCCACAGAAGCAGGTGGAGGAACAAGTTCCTCAAAATCCACCTCCATATCTATACCACCATCCAGGTCATTGTCATATGACCTAGGATGTGACCACTGCCAGGAATCTTGGACTAGAGGTTGTTGGTGGTGAGGGAGGGGAGCAGGATGTGGCACATTCAGCAGTAGCCCAGAAGCAATAAAAATAGCATCAAGAAGGGGATTTGTCTGAGGATCATTGAGAGCAGCAGTTTGAGCAGCACGGAGTTCATTGGCGTAGTGAGTTGTTTCTGTCCTGTGCTTTTGAGTATTTTCATGGTGTATAGCATGGTGAATGTCTTGCTTGAAACAGCCAGTTGGACAGTGTAAACACATCCAGAGATTCCCTTGCATCAGGAAGTCTGCACCCAGTATGATGAGAATTGATGTGTATACATCAACAATGAAAAAACATACCTTCCAGATAGACTAAAGATGCCATCGATGACTAGTTGACTTATCAAGATTGTGGGTAGTTGGTAGGGTGAGACTGTGGGATGCACAAAAGATGACAAACATGGCCAAAACATGGGCCAGTGCATAGTTATTCGGCCATTTCCCTTTTACAGGTAAACTATCAGTAAACTATAGGTAATCTATGGGTTTGTGCCGTCAAGAACTTGCGGTAGACTCGGACCATAGGTAGTGTTGCCGCCGAGGCGAATCGAATCGAGGTGGGAAATTGCAGTAACTCGACACAACTCAGCACTTACAAGTTGTAACGAATTGTGCCTTGTTTGACTCGCAAGTTGGTAATGAGTTCAGGAGTGATACGGACTGATAGTCCAGCCAATGAGAAGCCAGTGACGCTCATACCACCAACGACGATTATTTGCAAGTAGTTACACAAAAAGCAGACAGAACTAATTACAATCAATTTCCCTTGCATTTGCGAGCAACTGATCAAGCTCTCGAAGATTCCCAGTAACCATCAGTTCGTCAACTGCTCTTGGGATTACAGGTCCACATATTGTGTAGTCTTGCTCATTAGCCACCAGGTCCGCTGCAAAATCGAGGTGATCTTGCTTGTAGATGAACTTCAGGACTTGTAGTGCTTTGAGTGTGGTCGGAGATAGGTTGCTGCGCCGTAGAGTACAGGTCTCTTTGCTGGATGAAAATATACACTCGGAAGGCACAGATGAAGCTCGAGCAGGTAGGACATCCATAGCGACTCGGAATAGAAGTGGGAATGTGTACTCTTTTTGCTACATAACAATTGCTAATCCTATGAAATTAACGAAGGAATTGTATGACATACCTCCCAGAAATGAACTATATCTGGTGTGCGCTCAGCCATTTCGAGTAGGAGACCTGCATCTTCATAACAAGAAAACTCGCACTCAGCATTTTTCCTGTCCTGCTCGAGTTCCTTGCAGATGCGTTCCTCTGTGGTTTCCGGTGCCAGTGAGTGCACTGTTTGTTCAGAGACAATGATGGTGGGAGTCGGAGGAATAGTGCTGGTGCTAGTAGTGGATGCTGAGAGCCGAATGGTTACATTGAGGTTGTTCATGCACCCTATGGTATCCGGCAGACAAAGACCAAGAAGCAATCGCTGTTGAATTGGTGAGCTCCTGCTGTGACATTGAGCATGCGGATGGTTCCAATCACAGGGGATTACAATGTATGGAAGTGAACTACATCAACTCGATTCTAACTCGCGAGTCCAACGAATTACAACTCAATTTAGCTCGGTAGGTTCAAGTTGAAACGAATTTGGTCATTTTCGAAGCGAGTCGAGTTTAACTCGATTTGAACTCACCTCGACAGCAACACTAGCATAAGGTGACATTTCTGGCAGTGTAACCCTCTAACCTGATGTGTTTGCACAAGTTCTTGAACTTCAAGTAGGATAAAAGCAACCGAAGCCTCGAGTGTGAGGTATTTCTGGATAAAAAAATTCGGACCTTGATGATGCAGGGCTCTCTCGATGAACTTAAGGTCCAAGCTTGATGCTGTGGTAAACATGCATGATAGTACTTACTGTAGTCTAGATGTCTAGACCTAGGCCTCATACATGTTCTACTGCTATCCAGCTAGTCTATAATTCATGCATGATGTACGTGCGCGGTGCATGACTGCGTCAATTTCACCTGGCCTGGCAAACTTTACTTACTACGAGAACCTCCGCGCGCACCTGAGTTAATGGCATACCCTTGCAAGGGTAGGAGCCTATTGTAGCACCTGGGAGAGACCCTCCCAGGGATGATGGTCTTTCAACCTAGCTTGCTATAACAAGGTCTGAAAGGCCGTGGGAACGCCTTACCAAGGGTGGCAGGAATCCGAAAGCGCCCTCTACTGTGCACGACCATGGGTCACTAGTTCACTCTGCAGCAGAAGGCGCAATCGGCATCAAGTTACATGTACTACACTCTCGTTTACAATTCATTCATTTGTATACAAAATCCGCAAGCCTCTCCAACCCATCGTCCGACTGCGGAAAGATATGAGGAAACATCCACCACGCATGTGTCAAATCCGCATACTCCACAAGTTCAGCTATCCCGCCTGCCTCTTGGATACCACTCACAATTCTCCGTGAGCTCTCAGCGACGTTATCAGCTGTTCCAGTCATCGCCAACGTCTTCGGCCAGCTTGCAGTGAATGGAATTAGGATGCCTGATGCTAGAGGGTGGTTGGCAGGGAAATTGCCTAGATATTGGGAAGAACAGGCTTGGTAGGCTGATAGAGGTATGACGTCGTGAGGTATAGAAGTGTAGGAGGCATAAGTGACGTCTGCGTCTGGGGAGAAGAGTGCAACGTGTCCTGGCATCGGGAGAGTGGATTGTGATATGATATACGTGAGGACAAGAGCTAGATGAAAGTGAGATACGAATGCGAGAAGAAATTGACAAATCATGACTCACCCAGGTTTCCGCCTGCACTATCACCTGTGATAGTGATGTTCTCGGCAGCAAAGCCTCTCAAGATCAAGTGATGGTATGCAGAGAATAGATCTTGTAACGCCGCTGGAAAGAGGTTCTCGGGGACCGTCGCAAGTCTACGGGAAGGAGCTGCAATGATGTGTGCACTGGATCCTTGTGCGCCAGATTTCTTGCCAAGTGTGTGGAGTATGCGAGAGAAGAATGTCATAAACCTCTTTTCCGTTGGATGTCCGGAGACGTTGCCGCCTCCGTGCACATGAAGTATGACTTTGACATCTTTCTTCGCATCAAGGGACTCAGAGAGCGCATTGGTATAAAAGAAGACAGGAACCTGACCCAGTTGGATCGTGGTTGAGTGAATAGATGCAGGGATCTGAGAGGAAGGAGGAGCTAATTCACAAGAGACGTGAATTCCTTCTGGGATTCCTTCGCTGGGAACCTGTGCGCGTTCAGTAAGCGATTGGGCCTGGCCGAACGTAGGCTTGAAAACACCGATTGCGGTGCGGATGCCATGAAGAGCTGCTGCTTGCGTATGGGTCCAGGTGGGTCGAGTGAGTGGTGAAGACATTTCTGAGATTGTATTTGTGCTTCATCATTCGTGCGTAGTCATTTTATCATTTTATGCGGGGTTCTATATCCAGGCCTAGGCGCTGCTATCGTCGGTCCATGATTGAATGATATCGTTAAGGTTGAATGATTTAGACAGGAAGTGACAAATGAGGGTTGCTAACCTGCTGCCACAGTATCGATTCGGCACAGCGTATTCAGCTACGGTGAGGGAAATGGACGGTGACGATGCAATGTGTGGGGGTGCGTGTCAGGATCACTTCGTCGTTGCAAATAGCATTTATGATGTCCACTCCCTGGCCAGTTGAAATGTAATCTATACATCTCCCCTGCTTTTGTACAATTACAAGAAATGTGGTTTTACTTTACCTGTGTCAGAAACCAGACAAATATGACTGTCTTAATGTCTGGACAATATCGATGCTCAAAAGGTGTCTAATTCACAACAACATCGTCTGCACGGACTTGAATGTTTGCAACTTACGCTTCAGGAGGTAGAGCGATGATGTTCACCTGGTCGCCTGAAATCATATATGGATACTTACGTTTGGGTTCTTGGGGGTGATTCAGAACACCGAGTTATCGCTCGTGTCGCTATGCGGGCCCGCCTGCCCCATGAGATGCGGTGAAAGATGGGAAATCAATGAAAGGTCAACGGTGCGTACATTGTTTCACGGTCGGGATTGTTTCGCGGTAGTGCTTGCTATTCGTGGACAAGTATCTGGTACAAGGAATGCGTCAACGAATGAATGGTGGGACAAAAATCATAACTACCCAGCTAGTTCCAGAAACGATTTACATTCCCGTGCACCTGAGGACCGTCCCGTGGATTGCGCCTTATGTGGGTCGTGCGGTCCTCAAAACAATGGTGGTTTTCGGGTTCAGGCTCAATAACAGACTGGTTCTGTGGCTCGAGCTCAACAATCATGCTGTCGAGCCAATTCTCATGGGGCCCCCCAATTTGGGAATGTCAATCTTCCTTCGTTTATAGAGGGCTGTCCATGGGAAACTACAATTTGGGTGTAGGGAAGCTTTGATGCGACTGCGGAAGATGTAGCTTGGACATGTTCGTCAGGTACCAGCACTTGGAGGGCAAAAAGGTCAGTAGGAACGAAATAAATCAATAAAAGTGCATCCTCCGCCCATTCTAGGCACGGCATGTGCACATCCTTTATTGCATGCCGTGACGCGCGGGCTTGAGTCGAATGCCTCGCATTTCAACACTGTCAGCACTCGAATTATGACAGCGAAGGATCATTGTGATTATCGGAGCTGATATGGTCTCCCGTAGTTAGACTAGTCAGACCTTGAAGACAGTCGTTAAAAGAGCTGTAAAATCTGTTCCAGCTCTCGGCTGGTCACCTGACGCCAGTAAGTGCGTTGGATACATCAGAGCAAATGTCAGCATGCACCTTGCAGATGACAGTATCTGACGTTGTACAGTCAAGGGTGTGGCATGAAGTCAGCGTGACACCTCAAACTCTATAAATGTGAGGACTCAAGGGCAGAAAACTAGTGCATTGTAGGAGACTAGTTACATAAAAGTTCATTCTACGACAGTGAGGTATGCGTTGGGGGAATCCTGCGCACTATGTACTGAATGCGACGGGTCCAATGTGTCAGGAGATCAAAAATAGATCTCTCTTCATCATGAGCCACCCGGGAACGTAATTTCCAGTTGCTGAAACCCTGACGTATAACCTGGAATCGAGAAAAAACTTCATCCATGTTTGGACGTTGTGCTGGATCCGAGTGCATCATGTCCGATACCAGGCCGCTCAAAAATTCCACACCTGAGTAGCGCTATTTTTTTTTTGTAAATCAGGGTATGAAAAACAAGGAGTCACTGTTGCACTTTACATCGAGAAATGTCTCTTGGATGGCATGCCCAAGATACCAAACATCAGTTGGGAAAGGGTTCCGAGGTTTGAAGTTGTCTTCGTTGAACTCAGGTACCTCTTTATCTCCACCAAATATCGGTTCTTCTAATGGGTTGGTGTTGGATGCCTCATATTGGCGGGAGATGCCAAAGTCGATGTAGTAGTACCGTGGAGGAGACTTCGTGCGTGCATGATACCTCGCCACGCGTTTGTAGTCCTCCGACATATACTGGTCGCTTGCGTGCCATGCATCTATGAACATACTGTCATCCATCAGGATGTTTAGCTGCATGCAATCCCTGAGCCCAGGTTATGAGACAAGTCACTGGAGCAACTTAGATACATACCGGTGAGCGACATGATGTATATGCATGAAACGCAGCCCCTGCAGTTTAAAAGAAAGTGAAAAGAAATGAGTCATAATCAGTCAATCAACAAGGTCTTACCTCAAAAAGCTGGTGGATACAGTCAATAACTTCCCCAACTGTGTCAAAATAGGGATCTGCAGCGTATCGAAGCAACGGCATGACAATTATCGCAGTATGATCCTCGGCGGGCACCTCCAGAACATCGTAGATTGGAACGCAATGGTTAGCTGGATCATTGCGAAGAGGGGAGGTAGAGAAATAGCGACCGATTCCTATCTCAAAAGGGTGCAGCGATACGTCGATACGCTTGAGTGATACACGAGCACCGTCTTGAATGCGACGTGCATCCAACACAAGATAGTGCTAAAGGACGTATGGTAATTGATGAACACTGTTATTATCGAAGTACCCACTCGTGACACGATTCCATCCTCGCAGTTTATGTCAGCTTTGCTAGTGTTCGTCCAAGAGGGGACCCAATCTGGACTGTAGCGACTTCGCAACTTATAACCCTTTTCTGTGAGGAATTCGTAGTGGCTCCTCCACCAAATCTCATATTCAGAAAGATGAGAATGAGCAGCGGAGGTCGAGGCCATCCTCAAAAATCTGCCTGAAGTTGTGGTGTGGACTAGAAGTAAAAGTTGTCAAAGCGATAGAGAACAAACATGGACCCACATGGGTAATTCGGACCCCGGCACTTCGCGGACTTCAGAACCGACTTACTGCTTAATTATATAATGGCAGGGCTGTCGATCGTGAGTCGCCGTGACAAGTTACTTCTCAACAATTCATAATATCCAGCTTGAGTATACGTATTCGCAATTGAAGTACCCTGATAGGGAACTATTAATTTATCCGAATGACAAAAATATTCTGTTGTATTGTTTTACCCCGAAGATTACACGATTCCTCATCGACAAGGCTGAAGCGCTCAAGCTCAAGCATCAGATTTATAGCAGCTGCTTGTTGCCATATTCGCACAATCTTCCCTCGAAGGAAACACGCTTGTTATCTTTACCCTCTGAACTTATCATCGATCGCTCGCACAAGTTTTTGTATATACAAACCAAGGAAAGCAGCGCGACAGATTCCGTCGATTTTCAGTTACAGACCATGCGTTTCCCAAAGGCTAGCACGACAGTTCGAATATCCGCGAACTTTGGACCTGTGAGCCAATTTGAGGACTTGCCCGCGACCTTCATTCAGCTGAAGGGCCGGACAGCTCAAGAACAGGGCGAGCTTTATCTACAATTGTCGCTAACAGCCTTACGGGAGCTGGCCGACTTGTTGGAAAACGATCGTCTCTCAGCAACTGATAAAGCTACCTACAATCGAGCTTACACCGCTGGCAAGCTTCAATATGACCAGTAGGCTTTTTTACCTAGCCAGAAGGCTCTACTCACCCATCTCCATAGAGCGGTAAGCCTCAGAGACCAGCTTCAAATGCAGAAGAAGTCTTTGCGCAAGTTCATCGTTAACCTTTTCGTCCGCGAGTCCAAGTCGAATGCCAAGCATTTTCGTAAAGTCACATATTGGACTTATGAGGGTATCAAAGTAAGTCGAATAGCTGCATATTATGCATATTATGATTGCAGCTGAATCACCATGCAGAGAACTTCGGAAGACCTGGCCAGACGTTTGCTGCCGGAAAAAGGTGATACCCTTGGTATGTCAGAAAGACAGTGGAGTTCCCTTACTGACTGTTGGACAGTATTTGGAAGCCCAGGGGAGTCCGCACAAGAACACGCCTCCGTTTGTGAGGAGGGTCCGTGTGATGTGGTAGAGGGTATGTATCATGTACGCATTCTATAGCAAAACACTGAACATATTTTACACAAAGACAGTCTTTCAGGTTGGTGCGATAGTTCTTTCCGTTCGTCCATATCTCACATGTAGTGGATTAGTCACCGATCTTCCCCCGAACGAAACTATCCGAGGCCTTAATGTGGATGTACATAATGAACAAGAAGAACAAGAGGTCTTTGTGTCGCTGAGTCGAATAGCGAAAGCTAGAGGGGCGTACAAAGAAGAAGCAGAATATGACGATGATTATGATGACGATAAATCCACCAGTATGTTTCTTAAATCATCGCCCATGATAGAACTCAGCAGGTTCCTTGATATCTCAGTCAAAGCCCCGCACTCACCAAGTAGAGCGCCATCTCCTAGCCCCAGCTGCATAATCAATGTTTATTACAATATCAACCAAAGCGTGGTGTCTTTTGATTCAGAATCGACAAGACCAACATTGAACGTCGGGGCAAATGAAGGTTTGTTATGTTCGCTGCCGACGTTATCCCATGACGTTTAATGATGATGATAGGTGTCGACTCTGCACATTGAATACTGGATACCAATAAGCCAAGTCTCAGTTGGATTGATTTTATGGTTGTAACGTGTTCAATAATATGTCTAGTCGGGAGTGTTGTATCAGTAATATTATATAATTGATTGGGCATTCGTAGGTTTCTGGCTAGAAAGTCGCGACGACGCGGGCACTGCAATTACGTTTATAGTATTATACTTCCAGCGTCAGTTCAAACTCCGGCAATGATGTATCACACAAGTGTCACAAGTCATAATCCCAGTTTCTATTCCGCGAGACTGGAAAACACTCTTGAAACGCAAAGGAGCGGCGGCCAATTGATTGGATTTGAGATGGCACATTGTCCTTGCCGTAACGGGTGTCAAGTATTTTGACGTATGGGTGTTGTACTGCCAGGAAGACAGAGTGCCACTGATTTGCCACATGGTGGCATCACGATCTGTTCCTTGTTCCATGACTACTTCTGGGTATCATTATTCTCCAATACTACCGCTACAGAAAGCTCGAACAACGGAGTTTGTCTTTCGTGTATCACCTAATTAATGGTCGAGCGGCACCCTTTACCGTTGACATTGCAACGTTGAGTTCTGTGTGGCACATGAGATCAAGCTCGTGACCATGCTATCACGGATGCTCGAGTGGTGCAAAAATCTCAGGTGGTGTGCTCAAATTGGCACATAGTACTTTATATTAGTCAGACTGGTTACGAGCCTAGCGCGAGGTACTAATCCCCTCTAGACTTGGCGCCAATATTCCTGCACATCACCCACGTCGGGCATAGCGGATGAGAACAATGAAAAGCCATTTGGCCTCCAATGCAGGAATAGGTGAAGCACAAATTGACCTAATACGAGACCGTATCCTTAGCTATCACTCGCTTGATAGGGCAGAGTATTATCTTGTGGGATCCTGCACAATCGTGATGGACGGGTTCAATGAATACTCGGACCAAAATGCGGGGCAGTCTGTAATATTTGCAAAGGGACAAGGGGAACATGTGACGTGCATCGTGGACACATGTAACACACGTACGCACCATAGAGAGATAGCACAGACTAGGTCTGCGGCTCGAGCTTACCACTCGGAAGCACACGGGGAAGTGTTCGTAGAGTATACACGATAAGATAAAAAACGAGAGGTAGATCTGTTATAAGCGAGTCGAGGAATGCGGTTCGGGTTGGAAATCGGACCAGTGAGTTGGTCCACAGAAGGGGAGGGCCAACTTGACTGAGGGTTCGCGGACACAATGTGATTTCGGACATCCGAGTCAAAGGAGGAAAACGGCGAGGATGAAAGAAAACTGTATCCAGATCATCCTTATGCTGCCGCATATCCAGCTTGAGGTTGACTGAATTGGGGTATAGCACGGGTATACCCGCGGGTCGGAAGATCAACACCGTACCCGTACTAACCCGCGGTGTAGCAGCCTACCCCCGGTGTTGTATTTACCCGCGGGTACACATACAAGAAATAGTAACACTATGTAGGTCCAATAACCTCACCCAACACTCTCGTCTTCTCGTCTTCTTTTCTTCAGAGACTTCATGATCTTAGTAAGGTCCTCGGCTGCTACCAGATCACAGTAGAGCCATGAGCCGAGACAAAGGAATGCACGAGTCGATGACGGAGACAGGCGGTTTCGAGTGAAGTGTAAAAGGTGCCCTCCTGGCGAAAATACACGTTCCACTGCAGTCGAGGTAGCTATGGTGTGCAACACATAAGCTGTGATGCTAGCGAAAGTGATGGTGCACGACCTACCAGGAATACTAAGGTAATCAAGTGCCATCCGGTGCAAATTCGGATACGTCTTTTGATTATGGACCCATCATTGCAGTGGGACTTTGGTATTCTCCACTGATCGCCGCAAATAGTCGTCAAGCTCATCTACTAGAGATGCCGTCGTGATACTGGACAGTCACAGCATCAAGCTTAAAAAACGAATAGACTGCTGAACGCCAAGTTTTCTTGAGTGCGTCTGTGAGTGAAAATTAATCAAGGTCTATGCAAATGCGAACAATAAGTTCACATACCTAGATCAGCTTCATCATCCTGTTCGGCGGCAGGAGGCGCATCATTTTCATCGACATCAACGTCAATTACCTCCGGAGCGGCGAATTGCAACTCGGAGGGGGTTGTTTTGGCCCGTGGAAGGACAAGCTTAACACATTTTGCAACATTGTCTGCTATGGGCTGCAGAGATAACGATACATCTAAACGCGTTGAGGTAGAATCAGCAAGTGAGGCCGTGTTATTGGCAGTGGACTGATTAACCATAATGATAAAATAGATGGGGTATTGAGAAATGTAGAGTCTGCATGCCTCACTTTGTACTGTTGAATCACCGAATTATAATCAGTAATAGTGATGTGTCTCCGAGACGGAAGAATATGAACTGGTAGGAATATTGAAGCAGCGAGAAATAGGATCGAAGCAGCGGGTCACTGTTGCAGTCAACGACCCTCCGAAAAATAAGGATCGTAGTGAGTGGCGAATCCTTGTCATGTCCAACATATAGCACCGCGGAGAACATTCGGAGATAGCGCAGCTACCCATGAACATACCCGTACACCGTGCTGACGGGTACGGTATGGCCACGGGTAGTACATCTCGACACCGTACCCGTACCCGCTATACCCGTGACCCCCATACCCGCGGTGTGGCCCATACCCGTGCTATACCCTAACAGTAGCAGCACAAAAAGAAAAGTAAGAACGAAATAGATGAATGACAGAGAATGATCCTCCACCCATACACGCACAGGCTTGAGCCTTGCGTTTCAATATTTGCTGTCAGTACTCGAATGGTCATGATCGAGGCCTTTTGTGATTGGTAGAGTCTTTTGTTGGTCCCTCGTAGCTTCATTCAAGAACTTTGGCCTATAGGCTATAGCTATGGGCCTGGGATGTTGCTGCAAAGATGTAACACATACTGTAGAGTTACGACCGTAGCTTCGCGCCCTTTCGGGTGTGACCATGTCACACTTAGCTTCGCAGCTTCGTAGGCCCTTGCGACGTGTGACCTATCCAAGTTAGCTTCGCCCTGGCAGCTGCAATCCATGTGAGTTTGGCCTTTTCTCAGCATGTCCATCAATTTTGACCCTTCAGAATGAATCTCGTGTCTAATTGTCCGTAGCAATTTTTGGTTTTTTTGTTGGCGATTTTTCCTGTTTTACCGCGTGTCACAAAATAGCTTCGCTCCCCGAAATTTAGTGTGACCGTCACATCAAATAGGTTCGATTCGCTGTGGGGTGGGACACGTGACGAAGTTACGGTCGTAACTCTATGAGTCTACAGTATATAATTTACATAACGTTCCTGACCCTTTTCGGCTGGTCACCTGACGTCATTGTCAGCGTCTTGCTCAGCCATTAATATTGCCAGCACTTCCGTATGATCGCAAACCCTGCCAGTCTACTGCGGTATCACAGGTCTGTTGCATCTTTCACCAGCATCAGAAGAGCCTCTCTCCTGACTTTCAAATCTCGTTTCCATCGATCCTCCTTCGTCATGGGCGCTAACACCAAGTCTGAAGACGAATGGCGTGCCATCTTATCTCCAGAACAGGTGTGTTCTCCGATCTACACCTGAGACATATGTTCACTCCTTGCGTCGGAGATAGTTTAGAATCCTCCGTCAGAAGGGAACAGAGGCACCCGACACAGGGAACTACAATCACCATGACGCGCCAGGCGTGTACGCCTGTACTGGCTGTGGGACGCCACTATACAAGAGCAGCACGAAGTTTAACAGCGGCTGCGGATGGCCCGCTTTCTTTGATGGTAATTTATCATTCTGGAAAAGCCATCTTCTCTCTCATGGTTCATCGTAGCGATCCCTGGTGCCGTTAGTAGGCATCAAGATCGGTCAATGTTTATGACTAGGATAGAGATTACCTGTACCGCATGCGGTGGCCATCTCGGGCATGTGTTCAAGGGAGAAGGATTCGATACGCCAAGTACGCTCCTTTCTATCTTGCATAATTTGATCTGGGCCTCACAACCTCTACAGCCGACGAACGACACTGCGTGAATTCCGTCTCGCTGAACTTTAAGGAGGAATAAAGTTTTGGTTGTATGAATATCATTATAATTTAGATACAATACGTAGCATTGGCCGGTGATGCGTTGTCGATTATGACATTGAGCTTATTCAGTATCTCATTTGAGGGAGAGGACATTAACAATAGTTGAATGGACAGCCGGATCTCGACAACGTAGCTCAACAACGATTAATTAGGTGATGCACTTTGATAATAAGAATGCATAGATAACTAGTTTCTCACCTCGATAAGAACGTCCACGCAGTCCCAAATACGACCTGGAGATGATAAGCCAATCTCAGCACTGAGGCACTATTGCAAATGGACGAATGAGAGGGAGACCTAAGTATAGCGCCCAGCTAAGCAACAGCAGAACATGAATACACTATCGGGCGATACATGATAGGATTGAGAATCGAGAAACACAAGATACATAAACCTCGGACGATAATTGGTAACTTACAGGCGAGTGAGCTAGGACCGACTCCATTTGTATTGATGAAATTCTGCGGGAATCGAGAAAGGAGAAAGTGTTTCTCATCAAAGCGGGCAACATACTGGCTTATATTCAGTGGACAACAACTGCCTGGTATTGCTTCACGCGGTTGATAAAAACGGCCACCTCGTACCCGGTAAGTAGCAAACAATACGTCTGTTCCTGCGTTGTGGTCCCAAATGTCGCGCTGAAGAAGAGCATGTGATGTCCACACATTTGTGAATGTCAGCTGCCAGCTGGTCATTCTGATGGAAGAATCGATGACTTGCAGTGCATGAGACGCGTCTGGTCACGTGCCAACGAAATGAATGTCTTGCAACTTATGTAATCATGACTTGCGAACCCCCTAACACTTCAACAAGGAACTTACTAAGAACAAGGAGTGCCGGATCGCGAGATCAGCCAAAGGATCTAGGGCAAGAGTTCGTTCAGTTAAATAATCAAACACTATTCCTGGTAGAAGAATTATGAGAATGTCGCGTAGAAAGTCGTGACCGCGCAGGCTGTGGTATGAGATAGCCAAGATCGAAGCTCTATATGAAGAGCGCAGGGGGCATGGAGAAACAGATCACAGTGACTCCATGTTGGCGACCATGTTGTCCAGTTCTGCTTGGGACTGCTTGTACTTCTGTTGCATTTCCTGTGCAAGAGTGTCAGTTGGCATGTCTAACAGCGTAGAACGCATCGAGATACCTCGAACTTCTTCTCCCATTGATCGCGCTCTTGCTCGATCCGTTGAACTTGGCGTTCGAAGTGTTCTGCCTTGACGTCCACTTGCCGCAGCCTGAATAGGTGATTAGTCGTTGATAACAGATGATGGTAGTGGCTACAACGTACTTCTCCATCGTTTCTTTCACGTTCTTCTCAGCAGCATCAAGTTCCTCCTCCAGTAACGCAATCTTTCTCGTAAGGTTCTCATTCGTGCTTCTCAATGATTCTCCCTCGTCCTGTGAAGCCTTGGCTTCCGCAAGTTTCGCATCTACCTTGTCAAGCTCCGCCTCAAGAACAGAGATCTTGTGGGTCATCGAAGTAATCTCCTGGTCCTTTTCAAGGATAAGTTGATCATATTTCTTGTTCTTGCCTTCTGCTTCTTCAGCGCGAGTGACCGCATTGTCTGCCTCCAAGCGCAGCTGGTTCATTTTCTACAAGCGCATGTTCAGTAAGATCGGATGTACGCAAACGATCGCTGCCAACCTCTTTGATCTTCTCCATTGTGTTCGATGGATGTACAGATGGTGTAGACAATGGTAATGGTGAACGAGGAAGGAAACCAACTTGGACGGGCACCTTGCTGGGCACTGCCAATAGCCACAGTCAGCTTAAATGGGATGATATCGTGGGAAACCTGAAATCGGCCAGAAAGCAAGCACTTGCCTTTTCCGATCATGACAGGTCAAATCTGGTTAAGCTGAGACGAAGCTGGTTTGCTGGCGTCTCTGTTCCTTGAAGAAATACAATCAGTGTCCAACGTACTCGACGACGAGCAAGAACCGTGAATCTTACAGATGAGCGCACCGGTCGCGCAAGAGGGCAAGTGGCAGATGCTACTTTTGATCCCGGGCTTCACTGACTCACTCTTATATCAGAACTACCGATCCTCGAGGCCGTGATCAAGTAAGTCTGGTGCGCTCTTGCGCTCTTATTGCTATGCGTGCAACGAACCCTTACCCACCGCAGCATACGAAACCGGCTTACTGCCTTGAAGAGGGACCGTGCCGAGTTTATCAAGCCGTCAGATGTGAATGCCCTTTACCAGGCCGTCGTTAAACAAGGTAGCTATAATTCTTTCTTTCTTTCAAAGTACTATTTTATCTCATTTTGAATATTTCTCTCCGATAGTCACAAAACTCAACGATGTTCGTGACGACAACACAACTTACAACAATCGAGTGGATACAACACTGGCCGATGTGTTCAGCCTCCTTTCCTTGTGTTATCTTACATTGGGGCGAACGAAGGAATGCCCTGCTGTGTACTCACAGCTGGCCTCCATGAGGGTCAGTATTTCATTTCTCTACCATTTCATTAATACTGCGGATGATAAGCGCCCTGCGTTGTGGAGATCCAGCCGGCTATTACCCACCGCATTCCATAATGTCATGATGTCCTCAGACATCCGTCTGCTGCATGAAGATTCGTACTAATCTTTATTTGTCATGCACAGCAATTCCTCAGTCACATGGAAGAATCAGGAGTCTACAATGAATCGGACCTAGCCCCTTTCCAACGGAGACTAAGCGAGCTCCGACACATAGTACAACAAGATGCTGAGAGCAGCAAGCACCCCGAAGCTATGACGAAGCTCCTGGAGCGCCAGTTCAATGAATGTGGTACGTCTTCATTTCCGAATATCCTTTTTGAAGTCACTAAATGTGTGCTGCGGTTCTAAAGATGTTATCATGCGATCACTTCAAGATTCCCTGTCGGTGCTCTCAGTAGAGCTGGTTCCCATTCATGAACGCCTCGTCACGATTCGCAGACAACTCGTTGCGCTGGCTGCCAAAGAGGGCTCACACAAAGCCGAAATAAAGTCTCTGGCCGAGGAACTGCGTAAGATCGATTCGTGAGTGCGCCGTCAACTAAACCACATCTTCCTTCTTTAACACCTTCACAGCAAACGTGTCGACGGAAAATTTCTTGGCCCAGGAGGAACCATGCCAGCTTCTCAAGCGCTTTGCACCTCCCTCATCGAAGAATGTTTTGACATCCTGCAGCAAATTAAGGCGCAGGATGAGTCAAAGAACGTAGCGTCTTCTCTCAAGCCCATTCATGACCGCCTGAACGAGCTGCGCGCGGAACTGGAGAACCTCGTCCTCACACATAGATGGAGTCTCCGCGAGACAGATCTCTACAATTATTCGATGAGCCTGCAGGAGATCGACAAGATGCGTATTGATGGCAAGTTTGTCGATACAGAGGGTAATAGGCCACCAGGACAGTATGTGAGTGGTGCCTGTACTTGAGGCAAGTGCAACTATTCACAGATGTGCAGGTTCTGCTGTACTTGTTGAGACGGTGTTATGGTCTTATCTACCGTCTGTTATCGTCGAGCGAGCCAGTATCCGAGGAACTCATCCCCATCGTGCGTCTGTCTCCCATCTGTCCTTGATTCCGTTTCTCATACATCGCATATAGGCCAATAAACTCTCCACAGTGAAGAAGTGTCTCAACGAAGTATACAAATTTGGTGGTCCGTTTACGCCTCGGGACCTCTACCCCGTGAGTTTCCGGTTCTTCGATTCTTTTGGTATCAGGGAGCTCATTTTTCATAGTATCAACTGGCCCTGCACCAGATCGACTCTATGCGGAAAGACGGCAGATTCGTGGGCGTAGGTGGAAATATTCCCGAAGGACAGGGTATCGTCATGGCACACCTGAACGAGTGTCATGAACTACTAGAGATGGTGCGTACTTGTTGTACTTCCCAGAACAGTAATGCTGACGTAATCTAGCTCAAGGAGTCCATGGGCGAAAACGAAGACTATGACGACGAAGATGAGAGCGAAACAGGAGTTGCAGAATGAAATTAATTTTACCATGTTTCCAACTCTGCCGAATTCGATGTACCCCACTTACAGGCCTCGTATCTCATCGTGCTGCTGACTTATATACAATATCACAATCGCGCTGCGAAAATAATCATGGTATTCGCGATAGGACTTTAGTGCGTGTCCATTATAACAATAACCGGGAGAGATACACAAGGATATCTAATCTACGAGGAGGTAAACGACGAGACGTGGTCCTCGACGACCTTCTTGATTTTTGCTTCCATCTCGGGGGTAACATTGCCAGTCGCTATCTCTTCCAGAAGCACAGTTTGGGTGGCAGTCAGATGTGAACGGAATTCGGCTTCCCATGAAGTGATTTTGTCAACAGGGATGGAGTCAAGCTGCGTGATAGAGATCAGTGAGCAGTAGGTGAGGCTTAGAAGATAGGTTACGCACGAGACCGTTGACACCAGCGTAGATGATGGGCACCTGGATTTCGGTAGGCAGGGGCTGGTATTGGCCTTGCTCTATTAAAAGACATGAGTTATATTTGTAGATCATCGAACGCATTTGCTTACTGAGGAGCTCAGTCAAACGTGCACCACGGGAGAGGAGGAAACGTGTTGAAGCATCGAGATCTGAACCGAATTGGGCGAAGGCAGCGACTTCACGGTACTGGGCAAGGTACAACTTAAGAGAACCGGCGAACTTCTTCATGATCTTCCTATAGGCAGAGAAGATTGGGTTGAGGATGTCATACAAAAAACATAACGAGATACAAACGTTTGGGCAGCAGAACCAACACGAGACACGGAGAGACCGACATTAATGGCGGGACGCACACCACGGAAGAAGAGCTCAGCCTCCAAGAAAATTTGACCGTCAGTGATCGAAATGACCTATACGCGAAATGGGAATCAATAAATGTGTGACGCTGAGCTAATATCACCTACGTTGGTAGGAATATACGCGGAGACATCACCACCTTGAGTCTCAATGATAGGAAGCGCAGTGAGAGATCCACCACCGAACTTG